GGAAAAGAGGCCGAGCAAGAGCCTTGGTGTCTGGGATCCCGGCCGGTGATGTTCCACGGACCGGCTCCCAGTTGCTGCCCCCAGTAGAAATGCCACATTCTCTAGCCCGGAAGGATCAGCCCGCCTTGGATGACCCCAGCTTTGCATCCATCAGGACGCCTGAAGAGCAGACGAAAAGCCGCTTTGAGCATTGGAGTTATTTAGTGGGATTTATTTTGCTGGGTGTTTCCATCCAAGACCGAGACAGGTGGAAGCAGGAGAGCCAAAGGAGCCTGGAGCCTAAAATATATCAAGAACAGTTGCAGGATTTGGGTAGGGCCAGTCTAGCGAAAAGAAGTGGTGGTGGGGGGGAACGTGACAGCAGCGGCCATCCAATATTTGAGAGGTTGCCACAAAGAAGAAGGGGGGTTGGGGTCAACTTATTTTCCAAAGCACCTGAAGGCAAGAGAAGAAAGAGTGGATGGAAACTACTCAAGGAGAGAAGCAACCTGGAACTAAGGTGAACTTTCCTAAACAGTGAGGACAATTAACCAGTGGAACAGCTTGCCACCAGAAGTTATCTCAATGGAGGTTTTTTTAAGAAGAGGCCGGGCAGCCCCTGGTCTGAAACGGTATAGAGCCGTGATGGCGAACCTTATGGCATGCGGAGCCATTTGTGTGGGCACGTGAGACCCAGGCAAACATACCTCACTGCGCATGCAGGGGCCTCCCAGCTGATTTTGTAGTAAAAACAAAAACTTTCCTTGTGGGAACCAAGGTCATTTCAGCAAGTAGCTGGGGAGGGGAGGAGCGAAGTAACCAATCGACCGGCCAGCATCTCGATTGGACCATGTGACTGATGACTTGGGGGGGGGGGGGAAGGGGGAAGAGTTTCTCTTTTAATGAGATAAAAACTGTGGGAACTTTCAATCGGTTTTCACCGGTTTTGCCAATAGGATATAGCCAAAAAATTTGTTCTTTGAGGAATCTACCAAAAATAAGACCCTGTCTTATAAATTTTTTTTGCCACCAAAAACGGTACCAGGTCTTATTTTGGGGGGATGTCATCTACAGACTTTCGTGCATCGCCCCGGCCTCTTTTTCGCGGTCAGAGGCCTTTAGGAACTTCTTCTGCGGCCAGCAAGGCTTTACTGAAGGCCTCTGCAGCCAGTAACAGAGCTCAGGATCGATCCAGAGCTTTGTTATCAGCTACAGAGGCCTTCAGGAAAGCCTTGCCAGCCTTGCTGGCTGCAGAAGAAATGGGCCGGCAAGGCAGGTGTCAGGGTGTGCGAGGCCTGGCTACAACTATCCAAATGTAAGTAGTAGGACAGCTCCACCCCTGCATCTCCACCCCGGCTTAATTTTTACCCGTGCACCCTGGAGTGGGCAGGATCTTAATTAGGGCTTATTTTGGGGGGTAGGGCTTATATTGGGCTCACATGTAAAAAAAAATCAAGCTAGGACTTACTTTCAGAGTATTTTCAGGGGAAGACGGTATGCCTCTCCAAGTTTTGCTTTTGATGGATGTATTACTTGGAACATTCACACACACACTTATACACACAGTGTCACGGGATCACATTTGGGGGACTTGGCAATGGGGACTGTGCAGCCATTTGGTTTCTTCGGCAGTCAGCTGACCACAATTTTAAATGTTTTTTTTTTTTTTAACGGTGGTGGTTTCTGGCGTTTCCTTCCTGTGACTGGAAAAAAACTACCCAATGCTATTTGCTTAATGCCCGTCTCACAAAACGCCAAAAAAACTGGATTCAGTCATGTGTGATGATGCCTCGGGCTTATGACCAGAATGACTTATGACCATAATTCCCATCTTAATTATGGTCATAAGTTGAGGGCTACCTGTTGCCGGGTTTATTTCTTATTTTCATTGGCCGTATGGATTGAAACAGCCGCCTGCCCGGCCTGGGAGAGACCAGGACAAGAATAAAAAGGAAGAGAACAAAAGAGCAGAATAAGAACAAATAACAAACAAATAAGAATAAAACGGCCGCTGAGCTCAGTCTAATCTTCCGTCTCCCAACCCAATTTCATCTTTCATGGAAAAACCCGACAAACGGAAACCAAACTCATTAAGAGACTGGAGAATCCACTTTATTAACAGGAAATGTACAACTTGAGGAGTCTTAATTATTAGAATTAATTACTTATAATTAATTACTAGAATTATTTGGGTCTAGTAAATTAGGCAACCGTTTAAAAATCAATGGGAAGGAAGGAAGGGGAGGGAAGGAGGAGAGAAAGGAAAAATAGGAAGAATAGATGGATGGATGGATAGATGGATGGATGGATGGAACAAAGGAAGGAAGGAAGGAAAGACGGAAAAAAGGAAGGACGGAAAGGAAAAATAGGGAAAGAAGATAGATGGATGGATGGATGGATGGATGGATGGATGGATGGAAGGAAGGAACAAAGGAGGAAGGAGGGAGGGAAGAAGAAGGAACAATAGAGAAGGAAGAAAGGAAAGAAAGAGGAAGGAAGGAAGAATGGAAGGAAGGGAAGGAAAAATAGGGAGAGAAAATGGATGGAAGGAAGGAAGGGGAAGGAATAATAGAGAAGAAAGAAAGAAAGAAAGAAAGAAAGAAAGAAAGAAAGAAAGAAAGAAAGAAAGAAAGAAAGAAAGAAAGAAAGAAAGAAAGAAAGAAAGGAAGGAACGACAGAAGGAAGGAAAGGAAAAATAGGAAGAGAAAAAAGAAAGAAAAAAGGAAGAAAAGAAGAGGAAAGGAACGGAAGAGAAGACAGACAGACATTACTATTCTTACAAGGCAGCAGATTTCTCAAGAGGGCAAACCCTCTTCCTGTTTGTTCAACCTTTCTGCTATTCGATGGCTGAGGGGGGGTGGGTGGGGTGGGGGAGGGGAAGGCCGAGATGCCAACCGGCCAAATGATCTCCTGGGAGGTCCATAAAACCAGGCAGGTCCAGGTTACACCTTCCTTGATTAGACTCTGCCTGCCTTTCACAAGCCAAGCACGGGCAAACATTGCTCACCCAGGAATCGCAACCCATGGGGGCAAAGGGCCAAGGGAACGAACGGCACCCTGCCCCACACTTCCTGGGGACATGAATGGCCTTTGGCTTTGAAGGTGCATGCACAGAGGTGCATGCGTGTGTGTGTGTGTGTCAGCCACTGGCTGTCCCTCAACCCCCCCACCCTCAATTTGCAAACGGGATCCACCTCCGAAGGCCCCTTGTGGAAGAAGAAAACCCCTTGCCTTTTTTTTAAATAAAAAAAAAACCCACTTGCAAACTTTGGCAACCGCAAGAATTTGGGGGGAAGGAGAAACCTCGACCCCGCCCTTGGCATTAAAATGCAAAGAAGCCTGGGTTTTGTAGGAGTGAAATTTGGGGGGTGGGGGTTGTTCCCTAGCATGGAGTGATACCCCAGGCCAAAAACTGCGGAGTGCGAGATCTCAAAAGCTTTTTCGTCTCTGGAAAGCAGAAAGGAAAAACTCGAAACCCAGCAGATGTTGAAAAACACCCGCAGGGCACATTCCAGATCCAGAAATTCTCAGGAAGGAAAAAGGATCTTTTAAAAAAAAATAAAATAAAAATAAAAATCAAAACATCCAGGAATTCAGGAAGTTTTAAAAAAAAAAGAAAAGACAGCCTTGTTCCGCTCAGGGACAAATAAAGGGCAGAGGAAGCAAAATTTTAAATAATCATCATCAGCAGGCGGTTTTGAAAAACACGCACGGAGACACGCCAAGAGCACACAGAGAAAGAACAAGGGCTGTGCACAATCTGAATTTGGGAAAACCTAACAGCCTCCCAAGTGGCTTTTGTTAAAAAATAATAATAATAATAATAATAATGGGGAATGTTTCATCCTGGCAAAGACCAGTAGCTACCGTGCTTCCCTGAAAATAAGGCCAGGTCTTATATTAAATTTTTGCTCCAAAAGAGGGCTTATTAGGGCTTACTTTCTAGTTAGGTCATATTTTCTGGGAAATAACAGTACTAAATGCGTCCGTCTGGCTGACAATCTTAACTGGAGCTTATTTTTGAGGCAGGGCTTATATTACGAGCTTATATTACGATTCTGGAAAATGATGCTAGGGCTGTCATGACGAACCTATGGCATGCATGCCACAGGTGACACACAGAGCCATTTGTGCGGGCACGCGAACCCCAGCCAAAAGTACCACCACTGAGCATGTGCACACCTCCCAGCTGATTTTCGGCCCATTTGAGGCTGTTTTTGCCCTCCCAGAGGCTCAAGGGAAGCCTCTGGGAGGGCGAAAACTGCCTCAAACGGGCTGAAAATCAGCTGGGAGGGCGCGCACATGCGTAGTGCAAGTAAGGGGGCGGGGGTGTTGTACGTGCATGTGGGGGTGGGGTGGGGCGCACTGCATTGTGGGTGCCAGCACGCGCACTTTTGACATATCACAACAAAAAGGTTCGCCATCGCTGTGCTAGGACTTTTCCAGTTGGGTCTTATTTTGGGGGGAAACGGGGTAATAACATTTGGCTGGAGGAGAGAGTTTTCATTGTTTGGACTGAATCCAAGGTAGGTGAGAATCTTGGTGAGGATTTCTGCTTGGGTCAGGTTAGTCAGCAAAAAGGGAGATGTTTAGTTTCTGCTCCCCGATTGCAAAAACATGAGAGGAGGGGTGATGTGGGGTAGAAGGAACCCAATAAGGGATTATTAATTTGTCAAGTGGGTTTATTGAGTGTGGGACTGATGAATGAAATGTAAACTTTGAAGTTTATTTCTCCCATTTAAGGAGTTGTAGCTTTTCCCCCCTGAAACTGACTATGAAATTTTTCCGGAATTGACTCTGAAATTGACTGACATTTCTTCTGGAATTGACGCTTTCTGAAATTGACTGACATTTCTTCTGGAATTGACGCTTTCTGAAATTGACTGAAATTTCTTCTGGAATTGACGCTTTCTGAAATTGACTTGGCCCAATGAGTTTTGTTGTGAGCTAGTTAAAAAGACTGCGTGTGTCACTTTTTTCCAACCTCGGCAACTTTCAACTTTGCGGACTTCAACTCCCAGAATTCTCCAGCCAGCTGGGAGTTGGAAGTCCACATAATTGAAAGTTACTGAGGTTGGGAAACAGTGCTTTATGTAATGAAGCCGATAAAACCATCACAGTGCTACGTCGGAAAACAGCTCGGAGAAAAAATACCCATGGAAAGAAGAAAGAGTGAGGGAATCTACGATGAAGGAGGAACCCTCTGTCCCTGGGGGAAAAATTTTTTTGCATTTGGAACACTGCAAAAGGAAATTCCAACATGCACAGAGACAGAGATCAGCCATCTTACAGGGCTACCCCTTAAATATAAAATTAACCCTTGCAAAAATTCCAGGGATCTCATTTTTGAGATAAAGTCCTTGGAAAATATCAACTTCCTGCCAAAAATTAGGACTGTCCTGCGATTTGGGGCATGCTCAAATTCATCGGGGAGACCTGCCAGAGACAGCTGGTGTCTGATTTCTGCTACCCAGAAGGCCCTCGATGGGGGAGGAACGCAACCTGCAACCAACGATTACGTTTGGACCACGATGCCTTCAAACAGCTGGAGAAGAAGATGGCAGCTGGATAACGGCTAGAGTCTCTTCTTGATCAGTTTTTCCAGTTTGCGGATACGGGAAGACTCCTGCTCGGGCGTGGGGGCCACCAGGGAGACGCAGCTGCCGGTTTCGGCGCCCGAGGGAAGAGCCGGGAGCCGCTGACGGAATAAGTCCAACATGCTACTTTGCTCACTTCGCTTGAGACCCTGCGGAGGCGGAGGGAGGAAGAGGAGGCGGGGGTCACCATAGGAGGCAAAACTCGGGAGCCACATTTGGCTTCAGAGCTGAAGCTAAGATGGGCTTTGCAGGATCTCCAAGGCTGTGGTTTTGTAAGGATTCTGGCAGTTACCCACCCCAATTAAATCCTGAGTCTCGAGCCAAACTTCCAAAACTTCAGGAGGATTTATTGGGAGTTAACATGCCAGCACTGCCTGGGTACAGCCAACTCTGAGGCACATCATTCATTGTCACCCTTGACCCTGGTTTTCCCCACCACTCTGGGTGTATCATAATTCATATTCTCCAATGGGACACCTCCCTAGCCCAGAGTCATCAATCATGCTCTCCGGTTAGAATTTTGTGGGGTAGAAACTTCAGTCACCTGGTTACTATCTTTGAAAAACTACTTATGGAGTGCACTTTCGATTTCCAAACTGCTGTACTGCTCTTTCAACCCCCTTTCTGTTGGCAACTCTAAAAAGACCATAGAAATATTTTATGAGTTGACAGGTTTGTTGTGTCATTGTGGATTGATGGAGAAGGCCACACAGAAAGTGAGAGGATGGTAAGGAGAGGTTGTGTTCCTGCAGAACATCTGGAGGCATCTGGAGGCTGAGCCCCACAGCCTGGAAAATAGATCCTAAAACATCTGGAAGATATGTCCCAGAGTATCTGGAAGACATGCCTCCAGCACAACTGGAAGACACATCCAGAGTATGTGGAAGATGTGCCTCTGGAACACCTAGAAGACATGTCCCAGAACATCTGGGAGACATAGCCCCAGCATGTCTGGAAGACACACTCCGTTACATCTGGAAAACACTCCTCCAGAACATCTGGACAATGCCCCAGAGCATCTGGAAGATGCACCTCAGTCTAGATCATCTAGAAGACATGCCCCCAGAACATCTGGGAAACATACCTCCAGTATATCTGGATGACATACCCCAGAACTTCAAGATACGTCTCCAGAACACCTGGAAGACACATCTGCAAGACAACCAGACTATCTGGAAGATGTGCCTCCAGAAGATTGCCCATAATATCTGGAAGGTATGTGTCCATAACATCTGGAAGACACAGACCAGAACATCTGGAAGATGTGCCTCCAGAACACAGGGACAACCCCAAAATATCTGGAAGGCACAACCTAGAACATCTGGAAGACAGGCCTCTAGATATATCAGGGAAATTTGCCTGGGAAATTTGACAGCTGTAGTCCTACTTAAGCTACCCAGATATTTAAAGGGATGTCTGGAAGGTTGAATTACAGGGAATCAAAATGTTTGCAAAATGAAGGGCAGGTTTGGACAAGCTGACTTGGTCCCGGATAATTTTAAGTCCTTCAGCACCCATCGACCCAATTTTTTTTTTTACATGCTCCAGAGCAAGTGGAAGAGCTCTGGTCTTTCCCGCTGCCCACCTGCCTGGCTCACCTTCATCTCCAGAACCTTCTGGAACGTGTCAGTGGCGCAGTCAGAGAGGAGTTTGATGTAGTTGTCCACAAAGACCACCGCGGGCTCGTGGGGCGCCATCACGACCTGCAGGGACAGAAGAGCAGCTGATCAGGAGAGCCCATGCCGGCACCATGGTTAGAATTTAGGATCGCAGGAAAACTCTGCCCGCTGCCAGGAGTTTGATCTTGACCGGTTCAAGGTTGACTCATCCTTCCGTCCTTCCGAGGTCGGTAAAACAAGGACCCAGATTGTTGGGGGGCAAGAGGCTGACTCTGTAAACCGCTTAGAGAGGGCTGGAAAGCACTGTGAAGTGGTATATACATCTAAGGGCTTCTGCGGAGGGAGGGAGGGAAGGAGGAAGGAAAGGAGGAAGGAAGGAAGGAAGGAAGGAGGGAGGGAGGGAGGGAGGGAGGGAGGAAGGA